AGTTAGTTAGTTAGTTAGTTAGTTGGTTGGTTGGTTGGTTGGTTGGTTGGTTGGTTGGTTGGTTAGTTAGTTAGTTAGTTAGTTAGTTAGTTAGTTAGTTAGTTAGTTAGTTAGTTAGTTAGTTAGTTAGTTAGTTAGTTAGTTAGTTAGTTAGTTAGTTAGTTAGTTAGTTAGTTAGTTAGTTAGTTAGTTAGTTAGTTAGTTAGTTAGTTAGTTAGTTAGTTAGTTAGTTAGTTAGTTAGTTAGTTAGTTAGTTTGGATTTTCCCGGTCTTAAAATAGATTGAGACTCATATTCAATGATCATACAACGTACACTGTTAATTACGAGTGTTAATTAAAAAATAATTGTTGCTTTTTGTTTTTCATGGCTTATTTCTCGATAAAAATATCATTATTTTACTATTATACTGAAAGGCGACTCCGAAATGATGAGTAAAAACTTGAATTATTTTTGTTTGCGCAGCGTTCTTGTTGTCGTGCGTCTTTTTTCCCGTGCTTCAAAGAGGCAAAATTTGTACATGTATATAAGTTTGTACTGTTGTGTTTTTTTTATTTCTTAGCCTATTCATGTAATAAAACAATTATTAACTAGTGAGCCATTGAAAAAATGTGATATTCACCGGCAGAAAGTCGTATTGACCTGGGCTATCGCCTTGGTCAATATTTCATCTACCGGTGAGTATCACATCATATTCAATGGCACACTAGTCAATAATTGTATAAGTAATAGAAAGAGCACCGAAACACGAAGCTATCTGATTTGTACGAAGGGGCGTAGCCCCCGAGTATTAATTAGATTGCCGAGTGTTTTGGTGTTCTTTCTCTTTTGAATCAGTCAAACATAAAAGCACGTTCCCTCTTGTCACAATATAAAACCCCGGCAAAAATGAACCAATGAACGAACATCTGAATATGACATTTCTGTCGCTTTCCCTTTCTCTGCCGTCACAATATGTAAACCCCAGCAAAAATGAGCCAATAAATGGGCATGCTCTGGAGTGCGGGTAACTAATACCCGCACTCCAGTTAACGCACTGTGCATGTATATGTATACGATTTAACCCTGACACATTTTCAACAGAAAGGTCTCCAAACTATGATACAATAATTTATATAGAGGATATTTGTTTAGTTCAGTGTAAGTTCGGAATATATTTCACCGAGTGAGCACCAAAAGGTATATTTCACGAGTGGCGCAGCCACGAGTGAAATATGAACTTTTGATGTTAAAAAGGTAAAATATATTTCGATCTTACACTAAACTAAACAAATTTTCTTTTTATTGTATGCAAAGAAACGTTTAAAAAAGACATTAAACCAAATACCGAATGAAGCGCGCCAAATAATAATACAACGTGGCGTCATTTACGACGTCACGTCATTAAGTTAAATAAATAAGTAAATTAAAGTAAATTAAAGTATAATTAAGTAAATATATTTCGATCTTACACTAAACTAAACAAATTTTCTTTTCATTTACGACGTCACGTCATTAAGTTAAATAAATAAGTAAATTAAAGTAAATTAAAGTATAATTAAGTAAATATATTTCGATCTTACACTAAACTAAACAAATTTTCTTTTTATTGTATGCAAAGAAACGTTTAAAAAAGACATTAAACCCAATACCGAATGAAGCGCGCCAAATAATAATACAACGTGGCGTCATTTACGACGTCACGTCATTAAGTTGGTTCCCAGTACTGTGCACGCTGGTATTTCACTAAAACAACGTAATGGGCTTGAATTCAGTTTTTAAAACAGTGAAATTATCAGTTTTATATCACTGACATATTTCTATAAACCACCGAAAAGCATGTAATAAATACGGTTTAAACTATTAAAAAGTATTAATTTATCTGAAGTATAATTTCAATTTCAATTTATTTACGGTGTAGCATTTTTCATACTTTATTACATTAGATATGGTTCATAAATATATAGACGGCGTACATCTTTTATGTAACAATAGTAAAAATGGGAAAGTGGGTTTCGAAATGAGTAACAACTTGTACAAATTGGCGTCAAAATCATCGTAGATTATGAGATACGGTTTTGTTAAGGTTATGAAATAATTATTGTGTTTTTGTTATATGTTGTTATGTTTTGTTTTGTTCTGTTCTGTTTTGGTATGACTAAAAAATAATATATGATATTGGTTATTGCGGTAAATGTTAAATGTCTCGTTCCTTCATGTATATACCCTATGATATAAAGAAAAACTCAAATTCAGATCTCAGGTATTTAACTGGTCATAAAATACCACAGACTTTACATTGACCAATGAAAGTCCAGAGATTTATAATCTCGAGACTATATTTCTTAACAACATCACTTTAATAGCTGTATATTCCAATTATTTGTAATTAAGATTGTTATTGCCTTTATCTTAGGCATCTATTGTTCAGTATGTAATTGGACAAGATCCTCAAATAGATATGTGGTTTGCGCTCGTACAAAAAAGGGTTTCGTATGGTAATTGCATCTACTTCTATTTAGATTTATATCACAATAATAATTACAAGAAAGTGTGTAAAAATGTAACGCAGGTTTGTTTTGAGGGTATGATGTACCTTATTTGGAATAGACGTCAATCAAATGTTTCTACTCTCCGATCAACTTTCAGAGAAACAGGACCACAGGGCGTGTGTGGTTATATACTGATAAATTATGCATATCTTAATTTCTAGTTAATGGGATTACATCAAATTTAGTGCAGGACTTAATAGTGCTTTAGTTGAAAAACAGTATTTAACTCCTTTACATATAAATGTAAATGGGTCCCTATATATGTCTTTTTCGTTTAGAGAATTGACAAATCATAAAATCTATATTCAAAACACTAAGATATTATCGTTTCTATATATACTCTTATGTTTCACACACGCTCAATTATTATTCTATAAATATTAATACTTTTTGTCGTTCAGTATAACCGCAAACGATTCCATGTTAGAATATTGAATGATCAATTTTTTATGACTGTGTAAATGTTGAGATAATATGTTTAATTATGTCAGAATATGTTTCATTATGAGCAAATATGTTTAATTATGAGAAAATATTTCATTATGAGAAAATATGTTTAATTTGTAAAGGAGCGATAGTCTCTACAAAGTAATAGCAGACGACATTTTGATAATGAATCGAATGATTCAACAAACTTGGTAAAGTAATAGCACCTGACAGGTTGGTGATAAGTAGATTGGTACTAACCAACTTCATAGCTAAGCTTAGTAGCAGACGACAGTTTGGTAATTAGTCGCCGGTAGAAACCGGCGACTATATTTGTAACAGTTTAATATTATACCTATGGTAGGAGAAGGCATTAATTTCTGTAAATAAAAGCATAACAATTACTGAACAATTAAAGACTACAATTGTTTTCAGTCATCTCAAAAATTCAAACATACAATAATGTTGCTCAATTAAATGAAATATTCAAATATTGACATCGTAAAAAGCAACATTACAATTTTTATAAAATGAATAAATGACGTATCCCTATGGACCAGTCATTTAATTTAGGGATGCTTTTACCTTTTTTTAAGTGTCAAGCGTTGCTATTTTAAATCATGCATGATATTTGAAATGACACCTTTAAATTATCTGGTTGTTTGTATCTTATGAGACCTATTCTTTTTTTATCTTATTTATTATAAACAGTTTCTCCCAGAATCACGTGACTACACGCTGTATGTTATTGTTATAAAATATATTAATAGTAACAGTTTCTCCCAGAATCACGTGACTACACGTTGTATGTTAGTGTTATAAAATCTATAAATAGTAACAAATGGCTGATAAGACATCATACAGGTAATTTGCGAATGGTTGGCAATCAAAGTAATTTTGTATGAAAAATCTCGGTATGACAGTAGGGGCGGGAATCGTATTGGATACAAAGAGAAAACTAATAAACCAACTTTGTGTTGATAGTTTATTGCACTGGAAGGCAATTAAACGTTAACTTTATCGTATGTAACGACAGGAATATTGATTTCAGCTAAATAATATATTATTCCGATAGTGCATAAGAATAATTTTTTTTTTATGCAGACACCACTTTTACAGTAGAATTGCATTGTTTTATGCAATAATTAAGCATATATATTTTCATAGTCACTTTGCAAATATTTGATGATCGGTAATAATTTTTCGGTAATTATCGGATGCTGAAGAAAACCATACGTATAACGGTATATGTATGAAGTAGAATTACAAGTAGAATTATATTCATGTCACTTGCTTTACAAGCCTCGATGACAAGGTGTTAGATTTTAGGTTAGTTTCAAATTGAAACACTGTAGGTTCGATAAAGTGATTTTTTATGGTTTTTTTTTTATATAATACTTTTTGTATTTTGCAAAACTTGACCGTTTATCAAAATTATGAAATAAAAAAGTGCTAGAAATGAAACAAACGATTTATCAACTTATGTTTCATAAAGTTAAAAGATATAATAAAAATCAATTTATGAAAACTACAAACAGGATTTGTCCGAAATTCGAACTTGCGCCTACTACATGTAGGTTACAACTTCGTCATACTTACCACTAGGCCATCAAGCAGTATTAATTGATATAATTATACATGTAATTATACTTACAATAAAATCGTTAACAATAATAATAATAAGTTATGTAAGCAAACGAAACAGCTCCCGAAAATTATTGAGTCTCGGGTAAATATTGCCAAACAATACTTGCTTATTTAATAATGATAACAGTTTCTCGACAAAATTGCTAAGCAAGTTTGCTTCAAATATGATGTTTTATTATAACATAACATAAATTTATTGCATAAAACTCTCAGCAAGAAAGATATAATTGTGGCAAGTAAATGATTACGTGTTTATGAATAAACATTACTCAACTTATTGTTCCTCTTTTTTTATACTCGAACCATTAAACTGATATTTTCTTTTATTTATGATAATACAATCATATTTCTATCCGGCGACTTGATGCTTTAGCATCAAAATCTCTACTTGTGATCAAATTGGTTCGAACAAACTTCGTCTAGTGTTAGCCGACCACAGTTTCGTTGTAATCAAAGTGGTTCGAATAAGCTTCCTCAGTAGTAGCAGACGATAATTTGGTAATTATCAAAATGGTTCGAATATCAGACTACGGTTGGGCAATAATCAAAATGGTTCGAATAAGCTTCAAGTATTCGCAGACGACAAGTTTTAGCAGACCACAGTTTTGTGATAATCAAAATGGTTCGAATAAACTACTTCGTCGAACATGTCTTTACAGATAACATAGGTGACAATATGAATATAGTTGTCACTCACATAACAAAAGCTCGAATTTCTTAAGAACTTTAATAACAACAAACACATATATTTTTGGGATAAGGCCGTGACTTTAATATACGAAAATTAAATAAAAAAGAACTAAATTCCAAATTAAAACTGAAGTTAATTATAAAATGAGAAAATGAGAAAAATGCCTCTAGCCAAAATGCATAGAGACAACATAGCAGCGCAAAAATGCCGAAAACTATGATAATAAGCTTAAACTATGCATAACCTTCAAGGGAAAGGTACTGCATAATTATAGCTAAGGAGAAAACGGGGCGAAAATGCTCCCAGAGGTCTCCAAATAATGAGATGATAAAATAAGTAAAGTGTGAATAAAATACACAGTGTAACGATGTTAAGAAAAATGTGATACTTAAAATATGCCCCACCGAGATGCACTTGATGTATTGAGGGCCACATGATATTTTATGAGACATAAAATTTACCCAATATTTTGGATTAATCGAACACGGCCTTATTGCTATTGTTGCTAGCTAAAGATTCAATAAGTTCTTGTAAAGATGATATGAAGATGTCAAGGCCGATCGGTGATAAATGCACACCATCATTACGAAACAAGCCGGGGGTATCTGCTGTGATTTCAGCATGTTTTAGCCAACGCCCACCCCGAGCTAGAACGGAGCAAGAAACGGACCGGTTTACGCATTTTCTTGCCTTTTCCACCACAGATAACTGGCGATCAGAATGCCAATTGAGTCTTGGCAAAATGCTCGACCATACTACCGTGGTTGTCGGGCCTGCTAGTAACGAGATATTGAGAAGGTCATTTTTAATATTATTTGCTAAGACACCTTTTTTTACCTTTATTAAAGAGTTGCCGCCACAGTGCACCACTATCATGTCTGGTAGGTATCTGGATTTAGCTAGCATCCAGCTAATTTTTGGGAAGACCTCATGCCATGTCATGCCGCCTTTGGTGTGCCACTTCACTGTGCATTTCTTTTTTTCCAACCCGAGGTTTATCGAAGATCTTTTAATTGCTCTCCTTTTAACCCAATATGGTATAGAAGAACCTACGATCCATATCACTGAAAGTACATGAATAATAAGGCAGAAAAACTGAACAAAAATTGTAAAATTTATTTGCGAATATATTTTGCATAGGAATTAGACGTCCACCTTCCTTTTTCCATTATGACGTCATGAGGGATGCCCATTGAATCTAAATATGATGCGGCCCCGATACGAAAGCTGTGAGAAAGTATCCTTTTTGACGGGAAACCCAAATAGTTTAAACATTTTCTCAAAATTGATGAGAATTGAAACTTGGTAACAGGATGACTGTTTGCATGGCAAAACAAATAAATTGACAGGGGTTTAATTTCAAGATATGACACTATTGCTTTAACTGGACATAGCTGGCTTTTTTGTAACCCAGATATAGTTATCACATGTGGTGATCCACACTGGTTATTTTTCGACTTCCTTAAAGTGAAATATGCAATTTTGGTGCCATTGATACACTGTAAGCGTAGATCTGATGTTTGTAAAGAGTGTTGAAACATATTTTGTGAAGTAGCAACGAGCTCGCTTATGCGAAACAAGCCAAAAAAGGCTACCAAAAATAGTGCGCGAAAAAGGCGAGTTTCGTACCCAGAGGTGCAGACAGCATTAAGTGCAGTACAAAGGTCTCCCAGCATTTCAATAGTTATAGGAAGCCTAACATCAGCATGAAAATTTTTACGCTTATAGCCTTCCATAACTGTTTTTATGTAAAACGAGGCTGTAGGATCAATCCAATTGTTTAACTTATGAAAGTATGATAAGCCTGCTAGATATGTTCTGGCGGATTTATAAGATAAATGCTTTTGATATAACCAAGCTATATACATGGAAATACTATGCTGATCAGTTGGAAGAAGATGCGAAATATTGTGAATAATACAAAAGTTATTAAATGACCGTAATGCAGAGTCGTAAGCTAATTTTGTGTTACGAGATATACCGTTTGAAGCTAAGCATTCTGTTATTTGCTGAAGATATCCAGAAGATGCGTAGGAACAGTTGCCGGTAAATCGTCTGCTGCCGGTGCATAGAGTCTGAAACGCTGAAAATCATATCTTGAAAGAGCATCAGCAATACCATTATTAATGCCAGAGATAAGTTTAGTTTGGAACATAATATTAAATTCTAAACATTGAAAAACGAATTTCCTGACAAATATCATAGCGATTTTTGATTTACTGGTCATAGAGTTGATTATGTGACATACAGACATGTTGTCACAACGAATTATGATTTTTTTATTTGTTAATTCGGCAGGCCAAACAAAGATAGATGCAACAATCGGAAATATTTCTAAAATCGTAATATCTCCAATTATACCATTTTTTCTCCAGCTCTCTGGCCACGTGCCATTTGCCCATGCACCATTAAAGTAAATCCCAAAGCCTTTACTTGAGCTATCCGTAAATAGCTGTAAATTCTCGTTTGTTACCCATCTATTTTCGGGTATAATAGAGACGCCATTAAAATTTGATAAAAAAGACAGCCAAATAAGTAAGTCATCTTTTACCTCCTTAGAGACCCTTAAATGGTGGTGTTTTTCTGGGACTACTCCCACTGTTAGATCTATAAGCCTTCTCAAAAAAGGACGACCTATGGGAATAGCCTTACAAGCGAACGTAAGGCTACCGATAAGAGACTGGATATGTTGCAGTGTAGCCTTCTTTTTTGACAACGTAACCTTTATTTTTTCCTTAAGCTCGAACAACTTATCTTGGGGAATCTTGATAGCCATGTCATCGGAATCCAAAACGAGGCCAAGGAAAGTAATAACAGTTGTTGGGTATATCGTTTTATTTTCAGCGAGAGGAACATTTAGTTCGCGGCATAGTTGGAAAAATTGAAATAACAAATCGTTACATTCTGCAGTAAGTGATTTCCCGCCGAATAAAAAATCATCAAGGTAGTGCTTAATGTTAGAAGACTTTGACCGCTCTTTTATGCACCACTCCAGAAATGTTGAAAACTTTTCAAAAGTAGAACATGATATTGATGCCCCGAATGGCAGGCACTTGTCAAAGAAATATTTTCCTTTGTGCTTTATGCCCAGAAGTTCAAAATCACTTGGCTTCATAGGCAATAACCGAAAGGCTGACTGAATATCAGTTTTTGCTAAAAGGGCGTGTCTACCGAGATTTTGCAGCATTAAAACAGCTTCATCAAAATGCATATATTGGACAGAGCTTAATTCTAACGGTATGAAATCATTAACAGAAGAATTCTTTGGAAAACTGAGATGATGAATCAATCTAAATTCATTTTTTCCTTTTTTCGCTACCAAACCTACGGGGGAAACTCTAAAATTTAAGAAAGGGGGCTCGTTAAAAGGACCGCCCATTCGCCCTGCTTGAACTTCCGTATTAATTTTAAGAGACACAATATCAGGATTCTTGAGGGCGGACTTAAGGTTTCTGGTTCGTATAGACAGTCTAGGATCAAAATAGCAAAGAGAAAAACCGTAAGAAAACCCGTCTGCGATCTCAAAAGCTATATCCATGTTTGGGTAACGTTCTAATTCATTATTTAAAGCTAAAATGTTAATTGGTGAAGAGCCCAAAGTAAACCTATCGCTTAGGAGGTATGAGCTGGAAAGCAGGTTGTGTTGCTTGTCCAGTCCGAAAGGAAGTACAATGAATATTGTTGTACCTGTAAATTAAAAGCTGATAAAGGTAACTCACCATGCCCGTGGAGAAAATTCCCTGTCTGTTGGCCTTGTTCATTGTCGGTCTGGGTTTCGATCGACACAGCATCCCTACTCGGGTCATGGCAGGCTTGCGGGAACGCCACTGGTAGTTGAACGTTAGTATTGCCTTCCAATGCAACTTGTACCTCCCGTCTCCTCGCTTGACCACGTGGAGGGGCTCTCTCCCTGCATGGCCTGGCTGCCATGTGCTCGAAGCGGCGAGGTTGACGGCGTCTACCTTCCCTGGGCATATTTACGACGGCATTGTGACGATAATGCTCAGAAAACAGCTGAAGTATTGACGTCTGAGCGAGAGGCAATCCAGTAAAAAAAAGAATTCGAAGAAATTTACCACGTGCGTCAAATGCCTCCAATGCAATGTGAAGTTAAATTTCTTATTACAAAACGATGTTTATCGAACGGCTGGCAGTGAAGAAATGGGTAGATATAAGATTTGATACCCATGAACTGCACGAGAAAAGCGTGCAAAAAAACGGTGAATTACCGTGAAACAAGCTAGCTGTGAGAATTGAATTAAAATTATGAGGCAAAAATTGGGGTAATAATACGCTCCAAAATTAAAAAGATTTATTTCAAAATGGAACATAAATCCACTTAATTATGAGTATGAGAGAATTTGTTGAAACAAGATATGATATACAAGTTATACTATACATTATAACATGCAATTCCTTATATCATTTCTGTTAATTTTTTTCAATGAAAATAAAGATACTTTAAATTCTAAAAAAAATACGCCATTTTTTGAGAAAAAAATCACAGGTTAAAAGAATAAGTGGGAAAAAAACTATCCACTCTAAATTCCTTCTTGAAATTTTGCATATCGACTAAAACGAAGGTAAGCTTCGTTAAAATAAGAAAAAAAATGTATTGTTTCCTTTCATTGTAAATTATCTGAATTTGAATTTGAATTCTTGAATTTAACGAAAAAGTCCAATTCAAGGGCAGATAGCTCGAAAATGAGAACGGTGACCCCAATTTGTTTTTCGTTTCAAATGTTTCTGTTATCATATTCTAACAACATGCCGAGTTTAAAGAAATTCTATTGAACACTTTTAATTTTGCCTATATGTCTATATGAAAACTCCCGAAATCGTCCTTAAGTTTAAAGGCTGTCATTTTTTGTATCATTTTTTGTATCTGTTGACAAAAACGTAAAAAAATCAGAATGTCATAAATATCATTATATTCCTTATGAAATCATATATTTTTTCAAGTAAAGAATAGAGATCAGCAACATAATTTTGAAAAATTTAAAAAGGAAAATACTAGAAAAAGAAAAGTAATTTGCATTATTAAGTGATAAACTATACCAACATAATAATAAATGGTCTGTATTTGAAACTCAAATAACTCTTATTTTACAAGAGCTACATTATTATTTTGGCAAAAGGGTCGTAATTATTGTCATTGTCAGAGCGCAAAAGTCAAATAAATGGCAAAGGCAACATTCAATCTGTAGCCCACCATATTTATGTCTATTTATAATGTAACTGGAAACTATCAGATTTCCTCTTCTTTTTTTATTATATAAACGTATTTTTTCATCTCTCTTCTTATAGTTTTCTCATTATTTCTCTTCACAAAAAAACTTAATATAGAAAGAAATATAGACTTTGTTTCTATAATATATGTGTAATATGATACTTTTTTGCTATGTTATATGTGAAATATTATGATATTGTGAATTCATTGTATCTACTTATTTTGAACTATGTGAAGAAAGAAAATGAATCATAAAAAATAACATTGCTATTGGGAATTTAAAAAAAATATTGAAAAAGTTAACTTTCAACAAAGCCTGACTGATAATTATCTGTTTTTGATCAACTTCACACTGATGTTTCCATCAGTGAATCAACCCACAGGTTCTTACTTGTGCCAAACAATCACCAACCAGAATCTTGACATGATGATATTGTTGTTGTTGTTGTCAACGAATTTCTATGGAATCATTTTATATGCACATTTATAATAATGCAAATAAATTTCTCGAATTCTGGTTGGCTTTTGATAACAGTTTGTTTGCTATGTCGTTTGTTCCACAAAGAACCGAAGCACGAACGTATAACGATGATTTCTACATAGCACATTCTACACAAGCACATGGCATAAAATTTATTACTGCTTCAAAAATTTTAACTTCAAAAAATATAGTTAAAAGTGACACCGCAATGATGACTTTTATACATGTAGCCGTTGAACGTCCAACGTCATCTAGCGTCATCTTCTATGTGCTTCGATGAGAAACAGTCAAATTGCTTTTTTTTAACTTGTAGATGATAACTATTTGCATTTTTATAAATTATTAATATAAACTGTACAAGATGTTGACTGAATATACGGGAGAATATAGCCATGCTTACATAATATACATATAAGAGGATATTGTAGGAGGTTCTGAATTTGTTAAACGAGCTGAATCAAATTATAGTTAACGGTGTTAAACTGTCAATAATTACTTTGGTATGGACTACATACATACTTGTTTTGTTGTTGTTGTTGTTTTTTTTTTTTTTTTTTTTTTTTTTTTTTTTTGGGGGGGGGGGGGGGGGGGGTAGAATGAATTCTACTTCGAGACTTGCAAGTGTCTTACAACGTCAAACCTTAACAATATTGAGACGCATTACTTAATACAATTTGGATATAAAGGTTATTAAGCAAGTACAATGTGGGACTAATTATATTTGTACTCGTACCCGGTTTTACAAATCATATTATACTCGTCGATTAAATTACACTATTCCCACCAATTTTATTCAACTTGTTCAATAAGTTTAGTATTGATGTCATGTCAAAATTATGGACGTCCGTGCAATATCGTTTTTACGGATTAGAAAAATAAGCGAGAACAGGTAATAAATATTTGTATATATATTTGATTCATTTTCTTTTTTAAAAAACCTTTACACCGCCCGTACAATTTCGTCAAAAGAGATAAAAGAAAATGATATCGATTTTTGTACTATCAGTTAATAGTTCATTTGTTGTTGTTGTTGTTTAATTGAAATCTATTCTATTTTCAGACGTTTACCATGACATGTTTAACTGAAAATTCCTGATTGTCAATTTATACTTCATTTCACATATCATTTTTGACATTTTCATCTGCATGTCGGCCCACAATTTTTCACCTTTCCAACGAAATCACCCAAAGAGAGGGAACTTGGCATGAAATATTCATATTAATTTCACCTGAATTACATTGCTAATAAATATAATAGCTTTTCTTTCTATACAGAAAAAGATTACATGGAGATTTACTAAATACGGTCCAATTAATTAATATTATTTCTCTTTCCAGTTCAGATAACTTTCTTGAATCAACATCCCGTCGACAGTTAATAAGAAGTGAAGCTTCGTCGATGACATTTATATGTCAAAGTTCATTACGCTTGTTGTGTAACGTCCAATAAATCAGTAGTGCTGTAGTCTGTAGTAGACTGAGCTGTTTTTTATTTTGATATCAAATAACCAGTCTGTCTTTTATAATAGTATGACTAGACAGACAAACTGTTTCTTTATTTTATCAGATTTGAGTGTAATAAACTCATTTAGTTTTAATAAGATGATGAAAAGCAGCAACAAGTTGATAATGGATTTGCGACCAGCATGGATCCAGCCTGCGCATACGCACAGTCTGATCAGGATACATGCTGTTCGCTATCAGTTTCTCTACTTTTTGTAAGGTTTGTAAGGGAACAGCATGGATCCTGATCAGACTGCTCGGATGTGCAGGCTGGTCTGAATCCATGCTGGTCGCAAACCCATTATGTTGGTTTTGTCATGACGCGGCTCAAATATTAATTCTATCATAAAATAAGAATTATCTCATGTTTCTTAATGAAATATATTTTGTTCCTTGATATTTCATTGAAATGTAAGTCAAATGAAAGTGTTTGAAGTGATTTAAAGAAGAATGATTCCCTTTTTATTAATCTAAATGCAACAAAGTAGAATGCTCGACAAATATGGAACATAATAAGGACTTTATTAGGGCCATTTTGTCGCCATTTGGTTTGTTCGGTTCGCGTTGCTTTCTTAATTTTTTTATTTACTTAAAAATTAAAATAATGTGTATGTTATATACTTAAAAATGAAATATCGAGAAATATTGATAAAATAAAATGCGTATTTTCAGTTTCTGTAATTTCATTGTAATAGTTTTTCACTGCAGTAAAACATATTTTCCGTATTTTCACTGATGTTTTGCCGGACTACTTTCTTCTAAATTCCGACAATACACACAACTTTTTGGGAAGTCAAAAAAGAGAAAACAGAAAATTCAATTATTTTTTTATTGTAAATACAGGATTTATTTTTATCTTCTTGTTTGAAAATAAGCATATTTCACTCCTGTCTACGGCCGCTCATGAAATATTTATGTTCATACGAGTCGATAAAATAATTCCTGTGTTTATAGAAAAAAAACTTGAGTATCCTCTTTATAATATAGATGAAATATAGTGCATATTTTCATATTTTTTTTCTGTATTTTCACTGTAAACCTTTATTTTTCTCTGCAGTGAAACATATTTTCCGTATTTTCACTGATGTCTTGCCGAACTACTTTCTTTTAAATTCAGTAAGGTCAAAATAGAGAGAGAAAAATCCTGTATTTATAGAAATGTATGATTTTGATGCATACATAATGAAAACCCTGGAAAGGTGATGTAAAAATAACATATAATACAATTAGGTATATTATTAAGATGCTGAATAATTTACATTTCATGTAAGTTCTGCTCTATCTATCCACGAATTTGTTAGGCCTACTGAGTATCTGAACTGGAACCATGCAATAGGTTACATTACTAACGTACTCAAATTTAAAATAAATCTATGCGCTAAAGGTTGCATCTGATCTGTTGCGATAGTTCAGATATCTGATTTCATTTACCTTTAGTTTCGCTTTGTCAGCATTTTTACTGACTTTCTTCCAGTAATTTGACTCTACGAAATGTGACAATTATTTACAGACAGTTTTGTTTATCTCTTGACAACATAAATTCTTGCACAATTTTATTGATGTCAAACTAAGGCATTTAACGGCAGAGGTTTGCGGCTTTCGAGACTATACCTTGAAAGTTTGTATAGTGAATCATTCGTAATGTTTACAAGCTGACCTTGCATTGACTGATATTTTACACGATCAGCTCGTTTCTTCTTTCAAAAGCAGTACTGTTGTCCGTGTCAGATTATGTAAAATAATTTATAACACGGAATTAATAAAGTATATTTTATAAAACATAAATTTTCTAACTTCCGAGTAAAGGTGACATAAAATATAAAACAGATAAATGTATCTAAAACACTATTTTTAATAAGGACCATCACTTCAAATGAACAATGTATGTTTTAATATGCCTTGCAGACTAGTCATTCGAACTGGGTTCATTTCTTTGTAAATAAAGAGATCATCTTGAAATGTTTGATCATAGTTTATAACAATGAATATATAAAATTAATTTAGAACTATACGATAGTCATTTTAACATAGGAAACAAAAACTGTTTAAATGCTTAACTTATTGTTCACGGATTTATATCACAAAGATCGGAAATAATTAAGATCCGTGGTTAAATGTATGCACATTATAGAATGGTGCAATTATCATTTGCTTCAGGTGAGCTGGCAGGTCTGTGTTTCCTTTCACGTGATCTGTCTCGGTCACGTGATTTACTTCGATGGCGGCGGTATTGGTGCTGATGGTGATCATATGGGCTTCGGGATCGCCGCTTGTTTTTCCAGAGAGAGCGTCTTGTGATGCTCCGTCTGTTTAAATCTTTACTTGACTCAGTTATTTTAACTTTTTGTTGTGCAGACGATGATGAACAAGGATGCCTGATAGGATGGTTTCCCTCCTCTCTTTCACTCCTCAAAGGATTTGGTTCGACTGCCCTAGATGAACTTTTCTTACATCGGTCATATCGCCTGCTCGCTTCAAAATTGTCTTTCTCGTTTCCTTTTTCAAAAGATGATTCTAAATCAAGCAAGGTCAATGGTCCATCAGGATTCTCTGTATGCGCATTACCTTTGTTTTTTAATTCTGACGTATGAACATGATGTGGTTTGAAATGTTTAATTTTCTTTTTTGCCCCACAAGATTTCCGTAAAAGTCGTGATCGGCTACCGCTTCTCGACCGACTGCAGCTTTGGTTACGGTTATATTGATCTCGACTTTTACTGCGTTTATTATTTCCGGTATATAGTGAAATCTCTTTTGAACTTTCTGTACTTGAATCTTTTAACCATTTCTGAATAGATTTCTTTTTAGAATGGGTTAAAACATGGTCTTTATTTTTTCGGGGAGATGGGGTTTTCAATTCCCTGTTTAGTCTTGTAGTACGTTTTGGCCCCGTCTGTTGCTTAGCCTGGTTTTTACTTTGATTTTTGGATTCTTTTCTGTTATGCCGGGGTAAAACACTTTTTATAATTTTGGGCGAATTCATTTTATTAGGAGATGCTACTTGGTAAACCGTTATTATCTTTCCTCTTGATGCCGACGACTGGACCGCGATTGGTGTATAGACGGTGAACAAATTATCGCTATCAGTATCATCAGCACCATGGCTATCGGAAAGAAGTGGTAAACTTTCTAAAACTCGGGAGTTCACATTTGAAAATGTTTTATTATTTACCGACGACGTCTCTTTGCCTTTTATTTTGTTTTTTGGTTTCTTCTCCTTCTTTTTTGTTTTTGGTGTGCTATAACTATTGTTATTGATATTAAGCCCTCCTGGACCTAAACTAGCTGCATCCTTTATTAAGAAGTTCGACCTCAATGTCTTCATGAATGCTCTAGTCATCCCATCCACATGCCAAAGTTCAGAAAACGATTGAACACGCCCATTTAGTTTACGGAAATTGACAATCCGACTAGCAAGCTCGCTTGAAATACCAGAGTTTGAAGCTAACGTTCTTGATGTGCATTGATTTATATCCGCCATGTTTGTTTATCAACTTCCGGTTTGTCAAATATCTCTGACGTCAGTATCGCGCAATTTTTACCGAAATATCTTAACGTAAATATCGCAAGCGCTCTCTATGGAAATGCGTGAAAAAGAAAAAGTTGTTGACAGCTAATTCCTCTCCATGTAATTTTTTTTAATGTAATTAGTTTTAAGCATAAGAAATTACTAATTGTCACAAATATTAAATAAAATATTATGTATGAAGGATAAAGCTTTTGGTATAATAGTCATTAAAATATGGCTAACCTACATTACATGTTTAAAGTTACTGAACGCATTTGATCGTAGAGACAGATTTGATTTAAGAATGCAGTCTACGTTTCTGTATTTCTCTACCATTTCTAACATTATTATTTTATTATCATTATAATTATCATTATTATTATTATTATTATTATTATTATTATTATTATTATTATTATTATTATTATAAATATTATTATTTTATTATTATTATTATTATTATTTTTTATTATTTTTATTATTATTATTATAAACCAAACTTCTTAAGCACTTTTTCATGCACATTGACACGTTCAAAAGTACTATACAGTATAACCAAATAAATGATACAATATTTAAAAAAAACAAAACAAATTAAAACCTCAATATTGCTTAAGTCACAAATTCAAATTAAATGTAGTTTAAAAAATTAAAAAGAAAGACCCACATAAATAACAAAATACAGGTAAGACTTAAGAATTGTTAAAAAAGAAAGAAAGAAAGAAAAACACTGTTAGAGTTTCACAGCTTTTAAGTGTTCTAGGTAGGGCATTTCAGAGTTTAGGGGCTGTGTAACACCGCACTTTGTGTCCAATTTCGACCCCAAAGTGCGTTAAACAGGTACATAATTTTATGCATTTTTAACATCAGGCAAACGACCGCACTTAGGGGTCATAGAAAATTAAAGTTCATTATGTTTCAAATAATATATTGTAGTCAAAGCCAATGGTAAACAAAATAAATCAAGGCATTAAATAGACACAAACATGTGCCCTTAATTATAGTAGGGATTTAAATGATCTTGATTAGTAAGTGAAGAACTTTCACCAAATAAAGAATTTGTATCAATTAGTATTAAGTTTAAAATATTTTTTCTCAAATTTTCCATTTATTTTAAAAGAATGTACATCTTTCTTTAACTCCATTTTTTTAAGCTAAATGCATTATTTTACACATTTTTAAGAAATATGATAGTCTTAGCATAGACAAAGGTATAAATTCTGGGAAATCTTAGTAAGACATTTCAGTAAAAAATGTGCCTGATAATATGTTGAAAGGGCCATTTATTTAGCTAAATGTGACATATAAGAAACTTGAAAAGTGTAGATGCGGCTTTAAGTAGTAGCCCGTACAGGCAATACTTGTATGTATGTAGTTAAAGCTTAATGAGGGTCCATCCGCCCTTCCGGGCCCAAAATGCAGCTTGCGCTGTCGAGTACGGACCCCGGACATGTCACCAGTCATGTCATTGAAGAGTTAATTTTGAAGCACAAAATGGTGATAATTTACCTCCATGCAATTTCCACGGAGTATTAGCCAAAGATATGAATTTTGAGCCAAAAATAGGTCACTGTACGGCGGTCTATGAGAACCTAAATGTACAGTGACCTGTGACAATAGGAAAGGTGTTTAGCCCTGAAAAGGGCTGTTGGTGCCAGCTATAGGCTTGCCTTACAAGCCGTCTATCTGTACTAGGGGCTCATGCACCCTAGTACACCATCCTCGTCGTCTCAGCCTACTTTGTAGGGCCACTACCCTCGGCATTAGTCAGACTTAACGAAACAGCCGCCTTAAACGATTATAACTCGAATCTTCCATCATCTGCCGATGCCCTGTGCCTTCTCAGCGACGTGCACGCTCCGAGGGGAAGTGAGAAGTACAGGCAATACTAAAATTACCACTATTTAAGTAGTCGCACATAAAGAGCGGAGCTTCAGAATAAAGTAAAATTATTCTCTTTGGGGGTATAGATGGGATTGTGGGGTATTGATCCCCCTGAGGGTTAAAATAACGGTTTAAAGGCACATTATGCTTTTATTTGTTTTTCTTAAAAGCTTTTTTATTTTGATGTTCTTCTATATTATCCAAAAAATACACATTGGCAAATTTCCTAAACCATCTTTTTCATTTGTTGCTTTTTGGCAATGATGAGTACAGTTATATTGAATTAGTATTTCATATGGACGTCAAATACTACAGTGTCTTGACTTCTTTTATGACGAATAATATCACAGTTATCGCTATTTTATTCAGATAACAGGCATCTTACATTTCTCAGATACCATTATTTTAACATTATAAAATTCATGTATGTTCTTTCTTAATAAGTATGTAAGATTTCCCATAAAAATAGCCTCTGGCGAACGGTTGTAACGGAGCTTACAAAAACCCTTAAGTTTGTTGATAAGCTTAATAATGTTTTTTGTAAAAATCACTATTTATAGTCCGATCGAAAAAAAAATCACCAGAACATTGATAGAGAGTATATTTATAGTTCTTTGGAAAAAGACATGAACTGCATTTTTTTCATTCCCAACATATTTAAAAAGGTGCTCAATATGGCACCAAAATTTATCAAGTAAATAACCGACAGAACGGGATACTTTCCAAAGCATCTTTTAATCCCAGGAATACTCAATTTCTGTACTAGAGTATTTTGAACTGTGGCATAAAAGTGACATTTGTATTTTATTTTTTTTACTTTTTTTTCGTACATATTTTTGTTTGTTTGTCGTAGATAATTTTTTACATGTAGTTTTGAATACATACTTTTTTTTAGTTTTGCATACATATTCTTTTTTTAGTTTGGATACATATTTTCTTTAGTTTTGCATACATATTATTTTTTAGTTTGCATACATATTAATTTTAGTTTTGCATACATATTCTTTTTTAGCTTGCATACATATTTTATTTTAGTTTTTTTTTGTACATATTTTTTTTTTCGTACATATTTTACCATGACACCATTTGCAAAGTAGAGGTTTGGATAATTACACCATTTGTTAGACACCATTTTCAAACACTTCGCCATCTGTAAATTACAGTACCCCATTTGCAAATGCCATTTGCAAATACCATAATCAGACAAGCCACACAAACACGAACATTTAGTAATTAAATATAATTGCAAACGTTTCGGCTATATGCCTTCATCAGTGCAAAACATAATAAAATTCATCAGTGCAAAACATAATATATTTTTTTTTTTTTTAAATTTTCAAATACCAACATTTTCATTTTTAGTATCCGCGGTAACGAAAGGTTCTGCATATGGTCTCGTTGTGGTTGACATTTGTCACAAGGTGCCTTAAAATCCTTCATGGGGTTTCGGAGATAAGGAGCGGACATGAAACCCAAGTCTTTATCCTTTAACCTGTAGCTGTGACCCCCGACCTTGAGCCGGCACACCTGGTAAAGTTCTGTACATTATCTGGATTTGCTAAGGAAATGACCTAAGTTGCATAATTCTCAATTCTCGGGGGTGGGGTTGATGGTGCATATTCATGAAATAATAACTGATCACCAGTTAACAGCCATTTCCAAATAGACACTAATATAACAGTATATAATAATAATAACGATAAATAAATAAAATACATATAATATAAAAAAATGGGCCGAAAAGGGTCGGCCGAAACCAGACTTGCCCGGCCGAAAACGACTGGGCCGATTCTAAAAATGAGCCGAAATGTGACCTAACCACTCTGCTAGTTTTATACTCAACTATGGGCTGTTATGAGATTTGAAGGATGTTTTGATTGGCTAAAATATGTATGAAAAACAAAATAACATATGTACGAAAAACAAAAATAAAATATGAATGCAAAACTGATAAAATATGTATGCAAAACTAAAATAAAATATGTATACAAAACTAAAAACAAAAAAATGCTAATGTCACTTTCATGCCACCGTAATTTTGTTATATGAACACAATTTTAGATATTTCAAGTGGTAAAATTAATGAAACTTTTATCACTTAAGCATCATAAAGTACTGACCGCCATCTTTAACTCCAACTCAAATATTCCAATGTCGCAGATAGAAAATAAGTCAGTACTCAGTATTTAAGCAGAACTCTGAATACACCTTTAGACCTCTTGAACCCAAAGTGCGTTGATATGTAGCATATTACGCACTTTGGGGTCAATTTCTCAATTTTGATCCCCAAGTGCGTTTGACCCCAAAATGCAGTGCGAAGTTTAACGCACTTTGGGGTCGGACCCCAAAGTGCGTTTGACCCCCAAAGTGCGGTGTTACATGGCTGCCGTCATAAAAGCACGATTACAATAAGTCACTGTCCTACTATGCAGTACAACAAGTGCCAAGCAATCATTCTGGGATCTAAGTTGTCTGGATGGGGTATAAATGTCTAGCATGTTTCGTATGTACGTAGGTGCCTGTCCATGAAGCGCCTTAAACACATATGTAAGGAGTTTGTATTCGACTCAGGTGTGCACAGGAAGCCTATG